CCTGTAATCCTAGCTACTCAGGAGGCTGAGATCTGAGGATCGCGGTTCAAAGCCAGCCCGGGCAGGAGAGACTGTGAGATTCCTATCTCCAATAAACCACCAGAAAACTGGAAGTGGCGCTATGGCTCAAGTGGTAGAGCGCTTGCCTTGAGCTGAAGAGCTGAGGGATAGCGCCCAGGCCCAGAGTTCAAGCCCCACGACCGACCAAAAAACAAGAGTTAATCCAAGTTGGGTGCCAGTGGCTCACACCTGTAATCTTAGCTACTCAGGAGGCTGAGATCTGAGGATCATGGTTCAAAACCAGCCGGGGCAGGAAAGGCGATGAGACTCTTTTTCTTTTCTTCTTCTTCTTTTTTTTTTTTTTTTTTGTCGGTCATGGGACTTGAACTCTGGGTGCTGTCCCTCAGCTCTTCAGCTCAAGGCTAGTGCTCTACCACTAAGCCACCTTCCCAGCCCAAGGCCATGAGGCTCTTATCTCCAATTAACCACCAGAAAACCAGAAGTGGCGCTGTGGCTCAAGTGGTAGAGCGCTAGTTTCTTTTTAACAAGATAAGAGCCCTCACTCAGAATACCACCTGGGAGCACGTCAAAGCCACGCTATTACTACAGGCTTTGCTTACAGCACACTGCCCTGCCCAGCGCAGACCTGACTCCGAAGACCTGCTCCAGGGACTCTTCAACAGCTCCTGCCAGGAGGAAGTAGCCAGAAAAGACCACAATGTTCCTCCACCTTTCACACTTCAAGAGTTCAAATGACGGGACTCTGCTTGGTTCTCAAACTCAATGTTGCTCCCCTCTCAGCCCAATCTTTTTGTGTGTCTAAAGATAGAATATGGGCTGGGCACCAATAGCTCACGCGTGGAATCCAAGCTATTCAGGAGGCTGAAATCTGAGGATTGCAGTTCGAAGCCAGCCCGGGGAAGGAAAGTCTGTGAGACTATTTTATTTATTTATTATTTTTTTGTGAACACACTGTACAGAGGGTCTGTGAGACTCTTTTTTTTTTTATTTATTTTTTGAGTCCGGTCATAGGGCCTGAACTCTGGGCCTGGGCGCTGTCCCTCAGCTCTTCAGCTCAAGGCTAGCGCTCTACCATTTGAGCCACAGCGCCACTTCCGGCTTTTTTCTTTTTGCTTATGTGGTGCTGAGGAATCGAACCCAGGGCCTCAGAGGCATGCAAGGCAAGCGCTCTACCATTGAGCCATCTTCCCAGACCTCTGCGAGACTCTTATCTCCAATTAACCACCAGAAAACTGGAAGTGGTACTGTGGCTCAAGTGGTAGAGCACTCGCCTTGAGCTGAACTGCTGAGGGACAGCGCCCAGGCCCAGAGTTCAAACCCATAACCAACAAAAAAGATGGAATATGGGCTGAGGATGGAGCTGAGTAGTGGAACGCTTGCCTTGCATGCATGAGCCCCTGGGTTTGATTCCTCAGCACCACATAAACAGAAAAGGCCAGAAGTGGCGCTGTAGCTCAAGTGGTAGAGCGCTGGCCTTGAGCAAAAGAAGCTCAGGGACAGTGCCCAAGCCCTGAGTTCAAGCACCAGGACTGTCAAAAAAAGATGGAATATGAAGGGTTGATTCCTGCCTTATTCCCCCAGGTCAAGCAAGTCACCAGGCTCACGAACAGGCTTGGCCACTCCCCTGTCTGCAGGCAAGTTATTGCAACCTAGGCCTGACTGAAAGTCCCCGTCATCCCAAGCGGGACATTCCATTCTTGACCTAACTGAAAGTGCCCATCCCTAACCCCCCAGTAATTACAGCCTGATTTTTTTTTATTTTTGGGTTGGTTGTGGGGCTTGAACTCTGGGCCTGGGCGCTGTCCCTCAGCTCTTCAGCTTAAGGCGAGCGCTCTACCACTAGAGCGGCAGTGCCACGTCTGGCCTTTTCTGCTTATGTGGTGCTAAGGAATCAAACCCAGGGCCTCATGCATGCAAGGCAAGCACTCTACCACTGAACCACCTTCCCAACCCCTACAGCCTGATTTTTCTTCTTTGTTAACATGTTAAGACCTATGTAAACCCGGTCCCCAAATCCAATCCCTTGTCCAACCTTCAAACCCATGGGAAGGTCCGTGCCCCTTACTGGCAATAAACAGTCCTAGCCTGTTGGCGAGAATCAGGCCTATTCCTTTTTCATTCTCCGTTTTCCTAACAGGCTCAAATTAAACGTATTAGTTAAGTTTAGGAGTGGTAGATATGAGACTCTAAACTCCTACTTGGAAGTCAAGCTTGAGTTAAAATTTTTGTTGGAGCCGGGCGCTGGTGGCTCACGCCTGTAATCCTAGCTACTCAGGAGGCTGAGATCTGAGGATTGCAGTTCAAAAGCAGCCCAGGCAGGAGAGACCATGAGACTCTTATCTCCAATAAACCACCAGAAAACCCAGAAAACCGGAAGTGGCGCTGTAGCTCAAGTGGTAGAGCGCTTGCCTTGAGCTGAAGAGCTGAGGGACAGCGCCCAGGCCCAGAGTTCA